CATCGCAAAAGTGATCTTTGGTGTGGGAGACGGAATCCCAACTCATCTCGCATGAATCCATATGCCTTGCTGGACATATAGCATATATTTTGCGCCAATGATTTCTCTTCTTGTTTGTATTTTGTATTTTTAACATGCACAATCATTTTTGCGAATATTATTGCGTCTTCGCTTGCTCCAACTTGGGGGATTATCGAATTTTTTTCCAAAAAGTCATTTCTTTCTTTAAGCGTTTCATTGACTTGCTTAAGCTCCTTGATTAGTTTTTCTAGTTTGCTCGCATTCCGTTGATATGATTGAGCTTGCTCCGCAAAACGTTGGTGGTCACAGACCAGCTCCACATCGTCCAAACCCTCGTCACTATTCGGGATATCAAGCCGCTGCCGTTTTTCTTCCAGATCGGAATATTTCTGGAATTCGTCAAATGTTATGTCATTGTCATCCGTAACTTCAGGAGCTGACAAGTATGTCCGTTTTATTGGGGGAACTTCCCATACGCTAGAAGCTTCACTAGCACTTTCTGCGTCCGTTTGCTCCAAATTATATTTTGGCAAAGCGCCCTCCAAGAGCCGTTTTTTGGAAACATATTTCCTGTCGAAATGTCGTTCGCATATGTAATGCTTTTTTTCTGCCACTGCTGACGGTGACAGCTTACAAATTAGAGCCCAAGTGTTCCGAGCAACTTCCGTTTTTGGGAACTCGTACAGGATTCCTGTAGGTCCCCGGCAGGTAGGCACACAGCAACTTCGCTTCACATTGGGTGTGTAATTGTGGGGTGGTGTTTCCTCGTACCCTTTATACATACATACATACATATGAATGCATTAGAAGCTGAATGTTTTTATTTAAAAGTGCAACTATAAATCTACATTTATCAAATTTAATTTATTCCAATGCACTATAGCTGAAATAAGGAAGTTCTGCTGCCAAAAGTCCAATATTCGGACGTATCTAACTACGTTTCTCTGGAATGGACTTCCGGTTAAAATAATGGACTTCCGGTCTGTTTAACCCACTTCCGATCGAAACCGGAAGTT